AATTTGACTATTTTAATTCATCACTCTCCAATTGTGTAAATTGAGAATGGAGAGCATAAATACTCCTTCCGTCCCAAAAACTCTCTTACGTTTCGAAAAATTTGCTTCCCTCAAAGTCCTTTCCATTTCTATTAAAAAACCACTTTTACCCCTTACTTTTACATACCCTACCTATCACATCATACCTTTTTTCTAATAATCTACTCATCACATCCTACTTTTACCATCACATCAAGGTTATTTTTGGAAAGTCAACACAAAATTATCTCTTCTTATTTTACCACTTTAGTCAAAATGTTTCAATCTTTTTGGGACGAAGGGAGTCCCCTCCTTAAACTCATTCTCCCTTCTTTTTTTTATCACACAAACTTCTTCTTTTTCTTTTAAAAAATCTTTTTACCTCTACTAATTCTTATCATAGATATCACATCATACCGTTTACCTCACATCAAGAATATTTTTGGAAAGTCATACAACAATATCATTTTTTTAAATTCTCAAAAAGTCAATAAGAGATTAATTTAAGGGAGGGAGAGAGTAAAAAAAGTGAACATCCAGCTAGCTTACCTTCCAGGTCTAATGACACCACTTATGTTGTTCAAGATGGTTAATTTGTGTCTCTTCGGTCGAAAGACTCTTAATCCTGTTAATATACTCTACACAAGGAGTGTACATATTTGATGGAAACAACAAACAAGGCATCATAATCAGCACATTTTAGCTCAATGATCCCAAATAAACATAACAAAGCCTGTGTTAATTATTGTACTATCACACGAGTGTGTATGCAAACTTACCTCGATTGTATCGCGAACAAAGTTGATCAAAGTTGGCAAAGCTCTTGAACCAATCTGTACATCTGCTTTAATTGTTAAATCTCGATAGCGAACCTCGACTTTTGGCAACTCTAATCCCACTCTGTTTTTTGAAAGCAGTTCAAAAGAGTATACGAATCAGTATTTCATTAGTTATCAATTTAATTGCTTGAATGAATGAACAGAAAACACACTAATCCAATAATGTGAAAAGGTTCAATTGAATCTCAGGAGTCAATTAGGCCACTGGCTCGATCGTTTTCATCTTCTCATATTAAGAACACTGTATTTCCACACATTCCCATGGATCAAAATCGCGATGAGTTCCAATTCCAGTAGCCATACAATGTGATTAAGCACAGATCATAGAAAACTAATGAAATTAAATCAACCTACCGGTCGAGGCGATCTTTAATGGCGGCGAGGAGCCTGTAATTGTCCTGTTCCGTAGTCGCCAACGCCTGCCTGACCACCAGCTCTCGCGTGGCGCGATTGAGCCTCCGCACATCGACGGCCTCCGTAATCGCCCCGCCGGCGGCCGCAGCTTTTGTCTGAGACGCCGCATCGCGCTTCAGCAGAGCGAAATTCCGGCGTTTTCGGGACGGCAGCCTCTCCAGCGCCGCCCACATCAGCTCGTCCTCGTCCTGCTCCACGCACTCGGCGTTCGACCGTCTCGGAAAGTGATTGCGCTCCGCCTGCGCCTCCACATCCACGGCGAAATACTCATCAATCCCGCTCGAAGCCGCCATGATCGGTCACTAGAGCTTTCAATTTTCTGTCTGATTTGATTATGAGGGTTTTTAATTTCACGCGGGGGTATATATAAATCTGTAAGTTTAGCTGGGACTGGAATTCCTTCTCTCTCTCTCTCTACACGACGCATCGGTTCCGAAAAAAGCGCTGTTTAAAAAAACGAAAATATCGGGCTCGGCGATATGGCCGCGAAGTTTTGAAAGCGTGAAATGGCAATGATACCCCTGGGGAGCAGGGGGAGTGGGATAGATATGGGATGGATGGTGGGGGCAAATGTGGACATTCGATCGACTTTGGTTTTGCCCTGTTCTTATGGGATGATTTTCCGTTAACACGCACGTGCGGGGGATGTATTTAAGATTTTAAACCCCAAAACAGCTCAATAATCATTTTTAGGAACGTTTTTTCCTTTTTTTACTTTAATTAGAGTTAAACACGTGTGCTAATTTATACACATAATTTTGTACCCAAAAAATACGGTGTTTCTAGAACCATTACTTGAGTGCATATAATAAATTCATAAATAGGTATTAAATTGAATAAATATTTATTACCGGGCAGAACATGCATTATATTTGTAAAAATAATTATGTACTCCGTAGCTATTAAAAGTATTCATTATATTTTTGTTGGAATTTAATGAGGGTTGATTGTGCATGTATTTAAGTCCATATTTTAAAGTCATGGATTTATATTTACATTTTACATATAAGACATATTTTCATTTTTAAAATATAGATTTGTATTGTGATAATGTATCACTGAATATTGACATTCTAATGTTTTTAGTATTATATGTTAAGATTATTGACAGTGTAATTCCTACTTTTGAGATAAAATTATAAAGTTTGTATTTATTTATTTTGATATTTTTCCTATATTTATTTTTAATTAAGTCTTTTTCCCTTTATAAATGTCAATATACTAACAGTATCCGACTACCGCCACAAAAAGAGTTAACGGTTGAACAAACGGTCGAACGATAGAAAAAAATTATAGTTATTATGTAGAGCAAGTTCGAAAATCTAAGATCTATGGAGGGGATGCAATGGCAATATAAGTATTTTTTAACAAAATTCAAGATAAAAGTGACATGGAGTAGTTTTTAATACAATATTGTTTGTTCATTACATGCACTACACAGGCACAAGTTGTCTGTGCGGCACACATAGTCAAGAAGCAAAGTTAAGGACTGGTTTGGTATATGGAATTGATGAAATTGGAATTGAAATTACATAGAATTGAATTCAGCAAAATCAATTTATTTTTTGTACTATTAATTCCAAATCCACATAATTTTTGTACTACCGAACGCTAGAATTGAAATTGAAGTTCTCAATTCAAATTCCATCGTTTGAATTCTGTGTACAAACGGGACCTAAGTTTTTTGGGATATCTAAACATACAATACAGAGTATGCAAAAAAACATTTTAACCATGTTAAGAATTTTAACCATGTTAAGAGTAATGCACAAAGTCTAACTGTCTAAGGGCAATCCAAATGCCACACGGATCAAATGCAACATAGCAACAAAATGCATGCACAATATCGCTAAGGGCGGTGTTTAAGAGAAATCCCTTTATCAAATTCTAAACGTACACACGAGCTGTAAATTAGTTGCGAAAGTCTTCGATATGATCATATTGGCATTCTAGAACAAGCGACAACCTAACCAACAAGTATTTCGCAAATGCAAATACCATGACACCACACACACCCGTTCTACACGAATAAAACCAAAAGGGGAAAAAATATTCATGTATTAGATGTCACAAAATCACTTGAGACAACACCTAAAATGTAAATCTTGCTCAATTTTTTGTTGGGAGAATTCTCTTGGGACCTCTACCTTCCACTCATCTCATGATTTTTGATCTTCTATACATTTCATCGTCCATAATAGGGTAGATAGTTTTTGAACAAATTGAGCAACAATGGAAATGGGTCTTGCAGATGCCATTGAATCATAACTCTGAGCTCTTTTTCTAGCATATCAGTCTCCAATAGGACCCAATGTTTTAATGCAACATTAACTGAAAAACATAGCTAGTAATAGACATAAAAGCATTATCATTTCATAACATCAATTATACATGCATTCAATCTATAAGGGGTTTACCTTCTCCAACTCTTTACAATCTAATTTTTTAAGAATCTGTCATTGGGCTATGATTTTACATTAATCAGATTATCTAGAACATGGTACTATGGCAAAAGAGGCAAAATAAAAAATCGGCAAACACAAAAAACGTTTTCAACACACAACATAAAACCACATTAAGAATATTCAAATAATATTACCACAAACATTGGTCCAAACATCGCCACCTTATGATGAAATCATGAAATACCTCATCAACTCTGAAAAATGGGGGGAGTCTCTGGTGCGCACTAGGATATGGTCTAGCTAAGTGTTGTGCTTGGGTCACCGTGATTTACCTCCTCTCACAATCCCGTCGGGTCGGGGGTGAGGGGCGCCCGGGGTGAGCGATTTCACCTTTTGGAGAATGAAATACCTCATCAACCCTAACCACCAAAGCCTCAATCATGGCCTAAATGTGTTGCATGTAGAGTAGGAAGTTAGTGTAATATCGAATAAAACAAAAAAAGTATTGAATTAAACAAAAGTAGAAAAATGTACTCTAACAACTTCCTACACTAGGGATTGTCCTTCATCCAAAATAACTTGTTCATCTTCTTTTTTCACTTCTTCCTCTTCTTGGTTAGTGATCCCTCTCTCACGTCTTCCTCTTTAATATCCTCTTCTTTTCCATTCCCACATCCTCTTTCCTCTTCATTTTCTTTCTTCTTGCCCATTTCTTGAACTTGCACATTTTCCTTCTAGAGAGAGATCTTCTTCATTTTTTTATGGCTGGACTCCTCCATTGATTTCACATCTCTCTCATCATCGTTATTTTCATCTACAATTCTATGCACTAAAAGCAAGTTTGATCGAATATATTCTAAGTCACTCAAATAATCATTAATTTTATGTAACTTTTTTTATGCAATTTAGTTAAATTATATGCATGTAACTTTTATTTAATTTTTTTAGTCATTTATGTAAGATAATTTTTGTTTATGTTGTTATTAATGATATCTTTTTTTATTAGTATAATTTTTAACAATTTAATGCACTTTTTTATTTAACGGTTTGAATTTTTAATTAACGAAATCTTAATTATTTCCTTTTGCAAAATATGCATTAAAAAATAAAAAAATAAAATTTTAAAACTCTGGGCTTCAAATTTATTTCCTACGAAACCACCGTGAGGTAAGTTTGTGGGAGTTAAATTGATATGTGTCGAAGTCTTTGACCTTTTTTTTGATTTCTTTTTCGTCTATAACTTTGTTTAAGAACAACGTTTTCGATTAATATTAGCGTTTTGGATAAAATTTTAAAGGTATAGATTAATTTAAAAAAAGAGTGCCATGAATCTATGATTTTAAAGGTGAATCAAACTTCATTTCTTCTGCCTTATCTGTCCCAATTCGGTATCAATCGCCACCGGGTGTGTGTCGCTACGCTCATCTTGCAGAGAAGAAGGGGTGGAAGAGAGCTCAGATCTGTCCTATTCAGAGGTAAGTGTCTTCCTTCTTAATACCAAAGTGTTGCTGTGTTGGTAGTCGAGATTTTGGCTATGATTACATATTGGAGAAAGCTAAATAAAATTGCAAATTAGAACAAAATTAATCAAAGAATTAGAGTACTCCTTATTATGTAAACTTTTGACAACATAAAGGTAAATACTCCGTAATAAAACAAGAAGCAAAACTTCTAATTAATTTAGAGTTTCAAATGTCAAGAATTTAGGTTTACATCTGATTGATTATGCCCAAATGAAGTTAGAGTTTAGGGTATACTTCTTATTGAGTACTCCGTATTTATTTACTTCTGGTTTTCTTTAATTGATTAAGCAAAATTGAAGTGGAATTTTGTGGTTTATTTCTGATTAATTAACCTGAAAATTTTAAAATTTAGGGCCTACAAATCTCGAGAGCTCAAGTGAATTGCAATATATATAATTGGAGTCACTACAATATTCTTAAATCCCAACTAAAATGTATAGTCATTGTTTTTTGAACTCTTGTTCTTCGCTCAGTCGCTCTGTTTTTTGGAATAAGGATAATTTATTCGTAGAGGGAATAGAAGCACTCGTTTGCTCTTCTCTTAGCTATTCGATTTGCATAAAAGATGTTGCCAAACCACTTTCCGGAAAAGGTTATGTGCACAAAATTTGATATTGGCCGCTTTTCAAAGTAACTCCATTAGACATGCTTTGATTGACAATAAAAAAACTTTATTGCATATTAAACAAAAATGATTTGAATAGATTTATCTTTTTCAATGTTGTATTTTTCTTCAAGCTATTTTACTCATTTGCAATATATCTAATTGGAGTCACTGCAATATATAGTTTTCATGAGAAACTATGAACTTTTCCCTATGTTGTTTACAACAGTGGACACACCGTTCAGTAAAAATAATTTTTGAAACTAATCATAATTGACTTTATTAGGTTTTATAATTCAGCATTATTAGTTGATCTAATTAAGAGTATAATACAGATTTTACTATGTTAGTTGTGTGCAATGGTTCTTGCAAACATTCAGCATTATGTTCCTCAGTATGGGCAGTGTTATCTTCTATGCCATCGTTTAGGCTTAAATTCTTCTATGATTATTTACTTGCATCGATCGTTGGTGTTCTACCTCATTTTTATTAAATGCATTCTTTCTTTGCATGGGGTTTGGCATCTTTTTCGTTTTCATGTAGAATATTATAGGAATTATCATATGTTGATATGGCTTGTGAGTATGAGAATTCTTCTTGCAAATTGTCTTGGACTACGCAAAAGCTATTCTAAAGAGTGTTTTTGAACAGCTCTATGTTCGTGATGGTGAGCGCGCTTCAAGTAGTGTTCTGACCTGAATTGAATGATGCTTTTTAAGATTGTGTCCTCTTACTTATGAAGAACTATTTATATGGTGAATAGTCTTCTATGTAATTTTTCAAGATGCTCATTTCCCACTCCATTTACAAAGAATAAAACCCACTCTATGTTTCTCTTTTCTCTTATAAATGAAATAGTTTGATATATTTTGTCCGCAATGTGTTTACAAAAGGCCTAAATGAGATAGTTAGTTTACTAATTAAATTTTGAAGTTAGATTTGATAAACTAATACTCCATCTGGCACAAAAAATACAGAATAATAAAATCTACCTAAAATCTTAAATAAGACTAAAACATGGGATTTATACCAATTATACCAAAATAAGGTCTCCTATGTTCTTTTCTTCTACTAAATAGGATTGTTGGCAACCACAATTCGGCATTGTATGTTTGCATTTCACAATTTATTTGTCATTATGTGTTGGCATTATTTGACAATATAAGTTCTGTTTTGGTGTAACAATATTAAAGGTCTTATTTTGGCATATGGGGCACATTTTAGTTCTAATTAGGTATTTCGCCCAAAACTTTGCCCGTTTCAATTCCACGTAGCTTTAAAAAGTGTTATAAAAATCTTGTAAAAAACATGTTCATTACTAAAAAGCAGAAATAAGGTAAGTAAGAAGTATTCGTCAGGAACTCCAAAAGGCCAATTGGATAAAGGTTTTTGGAACGGAGTGACTATTTATTTCAAAAAGGAACGTTATTTTGTTACGAAGTACATCCTTTGATATTATCGTTCTCAATGAATCTATTTTTGTGTGCATATGTACAATTGTACAAAGCCAATGCAGATAAGAGGTTTAGACAATGTATACTCTCTATCAATTAAACCTAAAGGAACTTATTGATCATAGAAAAAAATACGTGGAAGAAGCGCTACTGGACGCAACAACATTATTTAAACACTTCTTTTTGGACAGATCATTATCTAAAACTTAATATTAATCCCTTGTTTTTTTAGTTTGTTATACACTATAGGCTGATCATCTACTGTGTAGGTATATATGCATCTATCCTAGATTTAGTTCTTCAAATGTGGATAAGTGTATATGTGTGCTGCATGTTTGGAAGTGAATGAGAAATGACTGCAGTGTATTAGACCATTAAGATTTTAGGAATGGATGGATGGACTGGGTCAAGAGTGAATAAGTGGAGGGTCGTTCTTTTACTACTATAGCATCAATTTTGGTGGATATTGGCAAATTTGCACTTTCTTATTGACTTATTTTATGCATAAAGATTTTAAAATTTGGAATCCAATTTGATATGGTTCTGGAAAATTTAAAGGGATTGAAATCAAGCCAGAGTGATCTGACGGAGGGATAGGGGAGCTGCATATAGAACCCCAAAGGCTCAGAGACATGGCAGACAAATTGGCCCCTGAGAAACGTCACAGCTTCATCCACAAAGGCTCTCTCTCTCTCTCTCTCCCTCTCTTTCTCTCTCCCTCTCTCTCTCTTAGTGCATATGCATAATTTTTGTGTGGATGATTGGTTGTGAATTTGATTGTTAGGGGTTTTTGTTTGATTAACAGATCAGAAGGTCTTTGAATGGGACCAAACACTTGAAGAGTTGAACATTTACATCACTCTCCCCGAGAGTGTTCCTAAAAAGTTATTCTATTGCAAAATAGAGTCCAAACATTTGGAAGTTGGAATTAAAGGCAACCCTCCTTACCTTAATGTCAGTACTCTGTGTCTATTTCCTTCTTCTTGTTCTCAGTTGGATAGAGATTTAAATTCTTGAGTACTCACATTGTTCATTATTTTTCATGATATGTATGGAGTTTACAGCATGATCTCACCCATCATGTGAAGACAGATTGTTCCTTCTGGACATTAGGTAAGTTTTAAGTGTTCAACTTTTTTAGGAGAAATAGTTTATTTTTTTGTCTATTTTCATTTTTAAATTGGGAAGGCCTCTGCAGAATAATGTTTTATTTTTTGTTGTTTAAAATGTAGTCCGTATAAGGTTTTGTCCATCACCATCTTCTTTGAGTAACTAGTCAACAACAACAACCCAGTAGGGTCTGGGGAGGGGGGAGTGTGCGTGTACGTAGGCCTTACCCCTATTCTAAAGTAGAGAAGTTGTTTCCAAGAGACCCCCGACTTGAGGAACACAGCTGGCACACAAAGCACACACACAAAACACAAAGAGCAAACTCTTAGAGTAATTAGTCATCATCATTATAAGTACTCTTATCCAAATCGAAATCGGGGTGCTACTTAATTGTTATAAAACTAATTAACACTAGAAATTCGTGCAAAAAAACAGTGTTAACATCTACTCTGGATGCCCTTTTTGTCGCAACCTTCATACGAAGAAATATTGCAATGAAACTTCTAAAACCATTAATATAATGCTCCCTGCGTCCCTAAATATATTGCATGGAGGGAAGTACGAGGCAAAACCCGACAAGATTATTTTATTTTATCCAATAATCATTAAAAGCACACAAGTAAACAAAAGTTATCATGAGGCTAGAATGGTGAAGTGTGCAATCCAGTTAAGGACGGAGGGAGTATTCTATTTCACGTGCACGGAGAATATCACGAGGTGGTAATGAGTTGATAAAAACAGAACGATTCGCATGACAACTATATATATGGCATGTCCTAAAACTCAAAACTCAAAAGTACAACTACTCCATGACGCTATAAGGTTCCATATCAGATCCAACACGGTTAGTAAAAAATGTAAAATTGTGCAATTGAGATTTATGTTGAGAGAAAAATAATATGAACCGCACAATTTTTTACTTTAAAAAAGTGGAACCCTTTTGTAGAACACACGACTAAGGAAATGTGGAACATTTTTGCTGTGCAAAGGGAGTATGAAGAAGCATGTGCTTTGCTACGAGAAAGCTCTCACTTTTAGCTGATAAAGGCCATCTTTTTGTATTTTACTGAAAGTCATTTTTGAATGGTAATTGTTTGCAACTTTACATAGGAGGTGAAAATGTTAGGGTAGTTATTGGTTAGAATGATGAACTGGGATTAGAAAATTTATGCTTTAGATGTATTTTCTGTATGATATCCTACAGAGGATGATATAATGCATGTAACCCTTCAGAAGAGAGATAAAGGACAGACATGGCCTTCTCCTATCATGGGCGAAGGTCAGTTGGATCCTTATGCGACAGATCTTGAACAGAAGCGCCTCATGCTCCAAAGGTTCCAAGAAGAGGTACATGTCTGCTCTTTTATTTTTCGTAGTTCCTCTTCGCGCCCGTTGACAAGATGTGGTCTTTTTCTTCTTTTTTTTTTGTAGAATCCTGGCTTTGACTTTTCACAAGCACAATTCAGTGGCAATTGCCCTGACCCCAAGAGCTTCATGGGTGGGATTCGGTCTACTTGATCTTGGGTATATTACTTGATGCAATTTCACTACGATCAAATACTATCCAACCTGTGTTTTCTTTTATCTTTTTCCCCCTTTCCGTATAAGTGTTATTGGCAAAATGGTCACTTTTTGTCTGTCCACCTTAACATGACTGTGTCTTATGGTTGGTAATGTAAGCAAATTGTTGGCATTATGACTATGAAATGTGAAGTTTGAACACAATGAATATGGGAGCTCTTCCACATGTATTTGTATTGTAATGTGCATGAGAATTTCTGCTCATTTAAATCGTGTAGAAATCCAGGTTTGCAGTATTTGTTTGAATAGCTTTGATGGCTTGTTAGAATAATGAGGAGTGCTAGGGGGACCTCAAGATTTTGACACCAAATGCGAACCAAGGCCAATACACACACACCTTGATATTTAATGTCTGTGTCCATGCATTAAATGTCCGGGTGTGTCTGTATTGACCTTAGTGTGTATTGACCTTAGTGTGCATTTGGTGTCAAAATCTTGGAGTCCCCCTAGCATTTTTGTTAGAATGATACATTTGCTACGGAGGATTATGAACACTCTAATCTCAGGAAAAATTAGGCCCCGTTTGGTATATGGAATTCAAACTATGGAATTGGAATTGAGGACTTCAATTCCAGTTCTGGTGTTTGGTAGCACAAAAATTATGTAGATTTGGAATTGATAGTGCAAAAAATGAATTGGAATTGGCAGNATTTCATTCGAAAATCTTTTGGCAATGGAAAATGCTTGGTTCACAAACTCAAACTTCACAAACTTCACAAACTTACCATTTGTGAACTTTAATAAAGAAAATTAAATAGTCTAAAATAATTTTAAAATGAGAATTTAAACCATAAATAGTAAGTTTGTGAAGTTTGTGATCATTCTGTTTGTGAACGTAGCATTGCAATAGGACTAGTGTACTTTTGTATACTCTATATTAGGCTTTTTTGAACATGAGTTTTCAAAAAAGAACCAAAACGATTACAATGCCCAAGTAGTAGTCCTCAAATTCAATAGCAAAGTGTGTTTATAGTGAAATTAGAATGAATCTTGAAAAGAGCCTAAAGGATCACAATCTCGTCCCTTGTCAAGTCGACTCCTGCCGCATTTGTTAAAGGACAAGTCAGTAAAATATAATCAACTCTCTCTCTTATATTGTCGCCTATCCAAAAATATTAAAACATAAATGCAAAAAAAACTTTGGAACGATGGAGAGTATAAGAGTATTACGTAGTAAATTATTTTTGTATGAATTAGGAGAGAAAATATATCATAAACCTAAAATCTATAATGCTATATGACATTTTTACACAACTTTTTATTAAAAAGCTTTTAAAATGTTTATGTTAATACACTGTACCTATCTAACATCTATAAAGTTCTATCATAAACTTTTTTTGTGAAGTTCTATCCTAAACTTTAAGTCCATGCATGATTACAAGAATTTACTCGATTCAAATTGACGAATAATCATACACCAAACATTTGGTGTAAGTTTATTACGTCAATTCAATGAAAAATTCTACGGTTCTTCAATTGTAAATATAAATCTTCATAAACTTCTCAGTCGTTGCACCCGCTATAATTGCACAATCTAAATTTTGTTACTTTATTGGACTCCTAACAGTCAAAATTCTTCCGTTCTACCCATCTACCATTCCCACTTACCCAAGTCCCCTGAATGCGCGTGAACTGGGAATCTCCCCCCGCCGGCCGGCCACCCATTTGCAGAAGCATCAGATTCGTCTTCTGCTCTTCAAGATTTTCTGTTGTGTGTTCAAATTTGTTTTTTAAATAAAACAAGGAAGAAGAAAATGCATGCTTTAGCTATGCCGCGCGTCTACTGAACTCTGTCTACACCGAATGAATAAATACTCTGTTTTTTTTGTCTTGGTTATCTCTCTCTGATTTCCACCTTCATAGCTCAAACATGGCCGGAGAAACAGGGGACGACCCGTCTTCGCCCACCCGCCTCCGTTCTTGCCTTGTCGTCGGGAATTACTGTCACGATGTTCTGATCAAAGACGGCAGCATCATTGCAGAGTCCATCGGCGGCGCCACCTCTTTCATCTCCGCCGTGCTCGACGGATTCGACGTCGCGTCCCGCTACGTGTCCAAGGTGGGTCCCGATTTCGCCTACTCCGTCCCCCGCCGGCCCGTCGTCTGCGCCTCTTCGCGAACCACCGTCTTCCACGCCTATTTCTCCTCTGAGATCAAGCGCCAGGATCGGGTTCTCAAGCGGGTCAGGGCATGCGAGCCGATCTGGGCCTCGGATCTCCCCGAGTCCAGATTCGATTTTGGGCTGGCCGTCGGAGTCGGCGGGGAGATTCTACCGGAAACCCTCGAGCGGATGATCGAGATCTGCGGGACGGTCCTGGTCGACATCCAAGCGCTGATCCGGGTCTTCGACCCGGCGGACGGAACAGTGAACCACCTCGACCTGAACCGGACCGGGTTCTCCCACCTGCTCCCGAGAATAGGGTTTCTGAAAGCCTCGTCGGACGAGGCGCCGTTCTTGGACTTGGAGGAGGCGAGGAAGCGGTGCTGCGTGGTGGTGACCAACGGCAGCGACGGCTGCACGGTCTTCACGGAGGATTCCGGGACAAAGATCGCTCCGTTTCCAACAATTCAAGTCGACCCGACTGGGGCTGGGGACAGCTTTCTGGGCGGGTTAGTGGCCGGGCTCGCCCACGGGCTACCCGTGCCCGATTCCGCATTACTGGGGAACTTCTTCGGGTCTCTCACAGTCGGGCAAATGGGGCATGCCAAATTCGACCCGAATCTCTTACAGGTTGAACTCGCCATTGTTATGACTTTCTTGAAACTTTGAAGTTTGCAAAAATGGCTGATTAATGTTTGTTTCTTGACAGAGAGTGAAGGGAGAAGTGGTGGGTCGGAAGGGAAAGGACGAAGACGATCAATTCTTTACAGTCCTGGACGGAGCAAGATCATCATCTTCTTCGTCGGGGGCGTGCTTTCTCCCGGAAGAATGTAAGAGGGAATTGCCCGCCGGAAACACTGTTCCGGCTCCTGGATCAAAGTGCGGCGATCAGCAGAGATTTTCCTTGGTTCATTGTATTGTCCATGAAGAAGAAGCCATTCCCGGTCTTGAAAATAAACACTGATTTTCTGATTTTGACTTCTCCCTCACCCCACACGCCCATGAGAGTAGTTTCTGAAAATGAATAAACATCTCTCCTCTTTCTTTTTGTTGTTTAGCCTCGTATGGACAATTCATTATGTACTCAATGATTTATCAAATTGTACACCAAATAAAATTTGTTGGTGCTTTAGTCACACGAACAAATTTCAATAGTGTAAGTGTAACGGCAACCATACACGCGAATGGACATTTCAACCGTGCAACGGAGGCTCCACGGTCGGGAGACTTATCTGTGAATTTATTCACAGCAAAAATAGTTGATTATCTCTATGTGAACAAATTCAATTCACACATGTCTCACCTACATCACACATGAGTTATAATTTTTTGAAAAATGTTAGGGATAAATCAATGAAATATCTAAGTTTATAAAGGCGGGTGAAAATCTATGAATATAATTTAATTATGTAAATAATACTTCCTCCTAGACCTGGCAAAAAATGACCCGACCTGTTTTTGACCCGAAACCCGGCCTGAAAACACTGGGTTTTGAACAAATGTTTTGATGACCGAACCTGAAGTTGACCGAACCCGAAATGACCCGCTAAAAATGGGTCAAACCCGACCAAACCCGACCTGACCGACCCGCTAAAGTTAGAATTTTTCAAAATCATACACTTTACTACTCGTTTTTAGTGTACAAATTTAAATTTTCAGATAAAATTTTAATGATATTGCATAATTATCTTACTTTTTCCCAAACCTTAAGCATTTTTAAATTTCTTATATTGATTTATATATCTAAAAATTACTTCAGAGTTTAAAATAAAATTATTTTATAGATTTAATACAACTTTTTGGATATTTTAAATTTATTTAATAGAAAATGTAAGTGTTAATGTGAACTTAAAAATTTTAAAAACCAAAGTCATAACCCGTTGGGTCGACCCAAACCCGACAATACTGGATCATGAACATACAGTTCTCAACCCGAACCCGAATTGACCCGAACCCGAAATAACCCGAACTTGAAATAACCGAACCCGAACCTGACCTAACCGACTGATTTGCCTGCTCTACTTCCTCCGTCTCACTATATTTGTCCACTTTCATTTTTGCACACCATCCAATGCACTTCTTTAATCCATTTTATCTTATAATTTGTATATTAAAAAATTATAGAAATTATATATTAATAATCTATATGTTAAGACAAATCAAACAAGACTACACATGACTATATTTAGGCTTACACATTGAGAGAATTTGATAAGTCAAATTGCTTAGATGAACAGTTCCAAAAGTCAAAACTGGACGAATATAGCGGGACGGAGGTAGTATTCAGTTGATTATCTAGTTATTTATGTGCGAAAGAGTGGTTGAGAAACGCAGAAATTGACATGCCATACAGACTAAAACAATTATCACCCAAAGTAAAAGTTAAGTCTGAAAAAATATTCGGAAGAAAGAAAAATAGTATGCCTCGTATATGATTATCTTCACAACCATAAAAAATAAGCCTTTTGTTTTTTTTTTTGAAAAACCAAAGGGAATTTGAATTACATTTGGGGCCAAATTCCTTTAGAATTTGTTTGGTAGACGAAATTTATAAAATTAGATTAAAATTGAAATTTGAAATTCTATGGAATTTTGATGTAATTAAATTTTCTAATTTTAATTTATTTTTGGTACTACAAATTTCAAATTCACATAGTTTTGTGCACCAATAGAATTAGAAATGTTACCCATTTGACCCTAGCTAATTCCAATGTAATATGCTAGGGGTACACTTTGGTGATCTCTAAATGTACAACACTTGCCTCTACACCATTCATTTTATTTTTATATTTTTTAGTACTTTTTCTTGAAATTTTCTTACCTTTTTTGTGTGGTGATGAAGGAAGTGAGGGATATTTGGGGTACACCACTTGCATTTTCCAATTCCAATTCCAACATGCAACTCCTAGATCGATTGGATATGGACTTCAAACAATTCGTCCAATACTTGCGCTTTCTCCCTAATCACCCAATCATTATTACCGCCCCACCGCCCCACCGCCGTTGTATTCCTCCAGGAGATCCCCCGTCCGCTTCCTTTTACCCTTTCCTAAACCGTTGAAATTTAGGAGGTTCCGTTCTTCTTCTTCTTCTTCTTCTTCTTCTTCTTCTTTTCCTCCTCCTCCTTTCCCCTATCTCTGATTTCGGAATCAGGGTTTAGGTAGCGAGATCCTCCGTCCGTCTTA